GAACGGGGGAGGGGCAGAGAGAGAGGGAGACACAGAATCTGAAACAGGCTTCAGGCTCCGAGCCGTCAGCACAGAGCCCGACACGGGGCTGGAACTCACGGACCGCGAGATCGTGACCTGAGCCGAAGTCGGACGCTTAACCGACTGAGCCACCCAGGCACCCCTATAAATTTGTGTTGTTTAAGCCACTAAGTCTTGGGTAGTTTGTTAGAGTAGTGACAGGAAACTAAGCCAGATGGAGTGTCTCAGAGGTAGGAGCAGGACAGCGTGGGGCAGATGGAAAGTTTCACTTATTCCTCTGCTTACGTTGGCACTGTTTTGATTTTCTTAAATAACTAACATGTGACTATTCTAAATAATAAATCCTTACAATGAAAAGGAAACCGATGGGCACCAAACGTTTGAATTGTGAGGTAATCGAGACAGGAAAGTGTGCGCGAGGGGAGAAAGCTCCCAGTGGCTTCCTGGTGGAGGAGGTCTTTCTTTCTCTCCTTCTGCAGGCTGCAGAAGAGCTTCTGAAACAACGTGTGATTTTCCACTAGGATCTTCAGAAAAACTGCAAAGGGCCTCATAAGCCTCCAAAAACAATAGCTTGAAAATATATCACGTATGTTACGTTAGATTCATGTGGAGGAGACTAGAAGAAAGCAGAAATTGGGAGGAATACGTATCTTCCGATGGAGTATAAAACGCCCGGGGCTTTTTCAAACACCGTAAAACCTCGCTGATCGTTGTTTGTCATTCAAGAGTTTTATTGTTTTCCGCTGTATTTAAGAATTCTATTTTGAGGGGCGCCTGGGTGGCTCAGTCGGTTAAGCGTCCGACTTCAGCTCGGGTCATGATCTCACGGTCTGTGAGTTCGAGCCCCGCGTTGGGCTCTGTGCTGACAGCTTGGAGCCTGGAGCCTGCTTCGGATTCTGTGTCTCCCTCTCTCTCTGACCCTCCCCCATTCATGCTCTGTCTCTCTCGGTCTCAAAAATAAATAAACGTTAAAAAAAATTAAAAAAAAAAAAGAATTCTATTTTGAGATACAGATTCGCAAGAAATCGCAAAAATAGTACAGAGATGTCCTCTACACCCTTTACCCAATTTCCCATCATGCTTGTATCTTACCTAATTACAGGACAATGGCCAAACCAAGAGGCTGCTGACACTGGTGTGCTGTGTGCTCATGGCTCTGTGTCATCTTATCCCACGTGGATTCATGTGACCAGCACTGACCAAGACACAGAGCCCATCTGCCACCACAGAGACTCCCTCCTGCTGTCCCCGTGTAGTCCCACCCTCCTCACCTTTCCATCCCCAACCCTCACGACTACTAACCTAGTCTCTGTCTGGCTCCACGATTTTGTCATTTTGCCAAACAGACGGAATCATCCTTTATGCATGTGATCTCTGGGAGTGGCCTTTCCATCCAGCATCATCCCGAGAGCACCGGTGCCCTGTTAGTCAGTGGCTTCTTTCATCGCTGCTGAGTCACATCCGGGGTGTAGACGCGCCACACGTGGTTTGACCACCACCCTTTGGAGGATATTTTAGTTGTTTCTGGATTTGGTTGACAGAAAAAGCTGCCGTGAACATTTATGTATAAATGTTATGCGGACATAAATTTTGATTTCCTGGGATAAATGTGCAGGAAGGCAAGTGCTGGGTGTGTACGGTAAGCATTTTCTTTTTTTTTTTTTTTTAAAAAGAAATGATCGAGGTGCCCGGGTGGCTCAGCAGGTTGAGTGACCCGCTCTTGATTTTGGCTCAGGTCATGATCTCATGGTCATGAGATCGAGCCCTGGTCGGGCTCCATGCTGGGCATGGAGTCTGCTTGAGACTCTCTTTCTTTCTCTTTCCCTCTGCCACTGTCCCCCACTTGCACTCTCTCTAAGTTTAAAAATTAAACAAACAAATAAATAAAATAAAAAAGCAACGACCGAACTCTTTCCTAGAATGCCTGTAACACTTTCCATATGGGAGGTTGGGCTTCTCCACCTCCCTGCCAGCATCCGGTGTTGTCAATATTTTGCACGTTAGCTGTGTAACAGTTACGTGATTTTAACCTACCTTTTTCCATTGTCTTTTGGTGATCATCAATTTTAATGCACAAATATTTGGGAGCCTATTATACAGCACTACACTAGGCCCCCAAGTGAGCTAACTGGCTCCTTAGCTCTTGAGGAGGTGCAGTCTAGAACAGAAAGTAGGACCATTCACAAAGTGAACCAGAATCACGTTGTCTCAGGTGTCAGGTTTCAGGATCAGCACACACGGTGGGGAATCTTTCACAGTCCAGTTTATCCTTGAAAACTATTGTTAATTTTTGTAGGGTGATAATGATATAACGATGTCTTACCTCCCCCCCCCCCTTTTTAAGAGATACATACTGACATATTTACAGATGAAATGATGTCTGGAGTTTGCTTCATAATAATGGGGAGGATGGTTAATGGATGGGGCATGAGTCACACAAGTGGCCATAAGGTGACAATCACTGAAGCTAGCTGATGGGTAACAAGACCTGATTACACCATTTTATACTCTGCAGTAGGCTTGAAATTTTCTACTTAAAAAGTATTTTGGGGGCACCTGGGTGGCTCAGTCGGTTGAGCATCCAGCTTTGGCTCAGGTCATGATCTCGTGGTCTGTGAGTTCGAGCCCCGCGTCGGGCTCTGTGCTGGCAGCTCAGAGCCC